AGGCAAACGTGTAGTCTTCTTTTGCATGTGGATTGTGCAAATACAAACGGTGAAGAATGCATTTTATCATTTTGTACGTAACTTTGAAGCTGCCATTGGACCTGTTTCTGCTCTAAGTCTATGACATAACTCAGTGCTAGAGCACAAACGTGGCCTGCAGAGGAATCAAAGTTCAATTCCTGGCATTTAAAAAAATGGCCATGTGCGTGGATCCATGCTTATGAGCCCTTAGGGACTGCATGTTGCCTATTCCTGATAGAGCCAGTATTATCAAATCTGACTGGCAGTGGCTTTCCAGGGCTTCAGGGAGGATTCTTCTTTTGACCTATCTGGAGATATTTTGGATTGAAAAACTCCAATCTTCCCCGTGTGAAAAGCATGCGCTTGGTTACTGATCTCCACTCTCGTGTGAAACTGATGGCGAGCTGCAACAGAAGGCTTGCCACTTAGTGCAGCTTCCTTGCAATCCGTATTTCTGACTGGAATCAATCTTGGACATGTTTTACAGGTGGAGTTACGCCTGTCTGCAACTAATCCACAGCTAATACACTTGCTCTGGTTTATCAGAAACATGTATTTCCAGCCACAGTTGGATTCCAATCCCTCCAGCCATTCCTAGCCTGGAGTGCTGCAGGAGGAGGGCAAGTTATGGAAGGTCGAAGATTCCATTTGTGTGTTAGAAATCACAAGCCTTTAACCTCCATGATGCGTACAAGACATCACCCTCATCTGAACAGCTTTCTTAAAAAACTGTTGTAATCATGTTTTTAACACTTCTTTTAGCAATAGCGATTGCGTGGCGGTCTCAGAATTCTTTGGAGTGTTAATTGGTAGAGCAGATGCAAGAGCAAGGATGGGGTGGGGAAGGGGGGCAGGAAATCCCTGCCGAATTTCCAAGGACTTGCTTGTTAAGCCTTTGGGAGACATCCTCAAGAACTCTCTTTAAAGTCTCTCTTTGTTGCAAGGAACAGAAGGAGAGGGAACAGAAAAGATTTTCAGGGTTTCTCTCTGGCAATTTTGCTCTCTCTAACAACTAGCAATAGCTTACCTAAGGCAACGGAGAAAGAAAGCATGTCTCTCCAGCCTAGTGATACATAACATATAGACCTTCTGACAATTAAATTTCCACTCTAGCTCAACAGTTGTAAGTGCCCCAATTTTAAGTCAAAAGATTTGATTTTTGTGTCCAGCCTAGAATAGATTACTATTGAGTCAGAGATCCACAGCTTCCATAATAAGTAGCTGAAGTCCTATAAATGGTCAACAATAAGATGAAAATGCAGAGCACTAAGTTGGCCAGGAAATAAATCTGCAGATCTCGTAAGGAGACTGCTTATCTTTTTTTTCCAAGCTGAATCTGACTGGAAGGTTGGGGGATTACACTAAGTTGGCCAGGAAATAAATCTGCAAATCTCATAAGGAGACTGCTTGTCTTTTTTTTTCTTCTAGCTGAATCTGACTGGAAGGTTGGGGGATTCTGGATATTGTAGTAGTTCCCCAAGGACTCTACTCTGAATCCTCCACAATGTTGTTAAAATGAGTGGGAGGAGGCTGAAAGCATTCCACCATTAATTAATTGCTGGCCATGAGCCTGTAGGCATTCCTATAAGGTTTGCATAGTTTGCCAAAGCTAATTGACGAAGAGATGTGGTGCTTATAAGTTATGCAATAAAGCACATGACCAGCCATGGAACAGAGACGTCCCCTGCCTCCCCAGCACCTTACCAGTTAGTCACAGCAAGGTGTGTAAACCATGAACATTAACAGCATTCTAACCCCTATGCTGGGGACACCATGTACCTGTCTCTCACTTTCAGCAGCAGAACTATCACTAGCAAATAAGCATACCAGTAGGTAATTTAGAACAAGTCCAAAATGAAACATTTCTAAGCAAGGCATCAGTTTCATTAAAGCCAGAGATCTAACTCATCAGGCTTGTAAGAGGAGGGATATGAAAATTCAGCTTGGAGCACCTGTCCTTTTAGGCTCAAGGTGCCAAGTCTATGTCATCTCCTTGATCTTCCTTTTAGGAATATTTGCCCCTGTGGACCAGCACAGACATCTCTAACGATGCTGCTCTACCAGAATGATTTTTTTCCTTGCATGTAGGGACTGCATGGCCTCAACTGTATTTTGCTATAAAATCTGATCAGATTAAATTCAGATTTCATCGTATCTTAAACAGACCAATTAGCAAGAAGTTGGCATGGATCTATTTGTAACTCTTTTTCCCCCAATTTTCACTCCCCAGCCCCCTAAGGACAAATCCATTATATCCTGTTTAAGAATTATTTTTAACCCCCTTTGGGGAAGTCCATGTGCATTTTGGTCTACACTAAAATTTGTCCACATTTCCTTTAAATTAAGAATATTTCCCAATTAAACGCAGACACATTTTTACAAGAAATTTTCCCTAACCCTAATCATTCACCATTCAGCTCCATTCTCAAGAAGAATCCCAGGAACTGCACTCTCTGAGTGGATTTTAATAGCTCCTGTTATTTAGTGCAGTGCCATATACAGTGGGGTCTTGACTTAAGAACGGCTTGAGTTAAGAACATTTTGACTTAAGAACCACTCTCATAGGAAAATATTGACTTGACTTACATACTTAGATTTGAGTTAAGAACTGAAAAAACCCACGTGGGAGGCAGGGAAAGTGCAAAATTTGAACTTTCAGTTAACTGTTGGCTAGTGAAAAGGGTGCCTGTCTGCTTCCTCACTCCTCCCAGCGTTTAGAGAGTGGATTGGGAGACAGTCTTCGGACTGCCTGGTACTGTACTGCCTGGACTGTATTTTCCCTGCCTTCCCTGAACCTTTCTTGACCTAAGAAAAAAAGAAACAAAATATCCCCCTCTAGTGGTCAAAGGCGGAATAGCAGCTTCCCATTAGTTCCCAATTAAACATAGACACATTTTTACAAGACTTATCCCCTAATAAAACAATCATTAACCATTCAGCTCCATTCTCAAGAAGAATCCCAAGAACTGCACTCTCTGAGTGGATTGTAGCTCCTGTTATTTAGTGCAGTGCCATATACGAAGACTGGGGGAATATTCGTCCACACTCACTGAAAAATGAAAGTCTGTAACAGATCGTTAAAACTTTCAGTTCAGAATTGTCGTTGCTGTTGCTCAGAAGGCAAGGAACCGGGGCAGAGGTCCTTGTGATCTGCGTTGAGCTTAAGCATGCGTTCCATCTCAGCTTATCTTTTGTTTAAGTATTCACACTGCTACAAGTTGGAAACTTTATTTGCAGTTTTTATGTAGCAATGCCATAGTTTTCCTTCATGGAACAAGATGAGGGGGTGAGGTGGGTTAGAAAGCATTATTTCAAATGCTGGCATAGATTGCTTAATCACCTCTCAACAACGGTTTCTAGGTTTGGACATGGAACAGGCTTTGTGAAGATAAAAATATCTCCTTTGGCAAAATGCACATGCTAATTCAGTACAATCCTTCAAACCAAGATTGGTACACATAGAGAAGATTAAATGCTATTTTCATTCCTCTCTTGTTTGCTACATTAAAGACAATTAAATGCTGGCAAAAACTTCTTCAAATGAGAAAGTTTCTTCCAAAAATTGTATTTGGCAGCTGGAAGCCCTCCTTGGAGATAACAGTTTTCTGTTTTTCACCTAAATTTAGGGGACAGGGGAGGGGAAAAATATAATACACCAATAAAAAAAGGAAGCTGACTAAAATTTATCACACCTTACACAGAAAAGTCTATGTTTCAACAAACTTCTATTGAAAATAAGATACCATACTGTTACTAAAACTGAAATCAGACTTTGTTTTGGCCTAGTTGGCTTTCATTCTGGCATGTTGTAGCATCACTAAAAATGTGGTCTTTCAGAGCTGTAGAACCAGAATCCTATTGCGAGTTCTAAATAGAGCAAACCCACTGATTCACTGGGATTTACATAAGTACTGACCTATATCATCTAGCAGCTGATTCAACAGATTTGCTTTAGACTCTACATACTGCCTTGTATAGCAGGATATTGTTATCTATATTTCAGGTAATCTATCTCAGCTCTGCCATTTATTATCCTATCTTATTTTTTTTCTTATCTCATCTTATCTGATCTGCCACCTTTCTTCCCATAGGGGACCCAAGGCAGCCCACAGCAATTAAAACTGTACAATGGTAAGAGGTTAAAAAAAACGATACAAAATTATATTAAAACACAAACACTGATCAGATTAAAACCAATATTAAAAATAATTTTAACATTTTATAAACATTAAAATTTCATAAATGCAAGGTTCCCTATACTATACTTCTTGAGCAATATAGTTAGGATGGGATCAGGTTCGCTTGGATTGACCTGTAACAAAAAAACCCGTCATCATTGGAAAGTTTTTTTGGGCAATTACTCTAAAATTATACTTGCCAGCCAGGGAATTCCTGGAATTGTTCAAAAAGTAACTTTTCTGCCCTACAGGTCTAGAGTTGATCTACCCACATTTCTGTGTAATCCTCTCTGACTGCACTAGACCCATTAAGAGAAAACACTTCCCTCTTCAAGAGAAACAGAAATCTCCCATTAGCTGAACCTTCAATAACTGATAAACAGCTGTGGTGAATAATCATCATCTTAGAACTGCAGAGCTGGAGCAGACCTATGATGCCTTGTTACACAGTGGTAAAATCTATGGCCTTGCATGAAGGAGTCCCATGCGCCTCCAATTAAAACAGTGATGGCTACCCACAACTCAGCAGTTGTTACTGGGCTACAACTCTGACTACTGGTTGTGCAAGCTGGGACTGGTGAGAGTTTGCAATCTAGCAACAGGGAATTCCACTCTGGTTGGCCATAGGCTGCTTGCCTCTCATTTCAAAAGCTCTTTCGGAAGCAATGCTGGATAAGCCATCTGCCAGAGACCTTCAGAAGCTGTGGCCCGTAACTAAATATACCACCCTTCTCAAAAGCAATCCAATAACCTGAGATACCCAGGAGAAAGGGGGAAAGGAAGTGAGAGAAGAAAGCAACATAAGGTATAAAAATGTTTTTATTATTATTATCAAGTTTAGATTATTACATAAAATATGAATGATACATGGTCTGGTGCAGCACTAGAGTGTAGCTGTTGAAGTGAAGTAGTTAAGGTGACAGAAATCTTCCATACAATGTTTCAAGGGTTAGGCAAAGTGATTTATGGTATACCAAAGGGTTGCACAATTTAAAATATAACCAGTAATACTTATAATAGTGCATTAATAAACCAAAGCATTGCATAATTTGTGAATAATTGTGTATATAAAAAGGTATTCTTGTTTTTTGTTTATAAAACCACACATTGTTTCAGTAAATATGTTTAAAAAACCCCAGACTCATGCAAAAGAAAGCATTTGAGGAGAATGGCACAGGTTTATTTATTCTTGGCGGCTAGAGGCTTGCGACTGATCTTCTTGGACTTGTCGTTGTTCTTCTTTGGAGGTTCAGGGTTTGCTTGCATGTGTCTGCCGTAAAGACTAGAAAGAAATAACACGAAAAAAGAGACTTTGGTTTTGGCACTGAACTTAAGGCTTTCATACACAGCATGTAAGACATTTTCCCACAAAAAGCAACAGTGCCCTCTTATCAAGAGGACCAGCTCTTGATAACTACAGAAAAACTCCAACCACCACCCACAGCAAAAAAAGAGGCATAATCAAAACACTGGT